TTTGCAACCAGCTACAACAAGATCCGATATAATCCCCCCGCAAGAGGAATCTTGTTGGAACCCTCCACAGAAGGATTCTGATTGCAAGTCACTTCCAAAGGGATCCTAGTGTAACCTTCCTCGGCAGGAATCCTCGTGTAAACCTCGTCAAACGGCATCCCACTGCAATCCGCATCATAAGGGGTTCTAATGTAATCCTCCGCAGAATGAGGCCTATTCGAATCTTCCTCAAACGGAGGAGTATTGTAATCCTCGCCGAACGGAATCCGACTGTAATCTCCGCAAGGAATCCGTTTGTAGCCACCTGTCTTCAACACAAGAGGTCAGATTGAACTTTTCCATTCAAGAAATCCCCGTGCAATGCCTCCAACAGAAATCATGGTGCAATTCTCTTCAAAGGTGAGAAAGCCCAACATACTTCATTACATAAAGAGTCCGATTGTAATCTCCCACGTTGCAGGAGTCCGACTGTAATCCGGTGCAAACCGAATGTTGTTATAACTTCCCAGAATTTATCAGCCAGGGGTCGGGCGGACTTGTTTCAATTTTCCCACGTGTTTACATCTGGAAGCGGGGTTTCGCCCGAGAGCCCCTCCAAGCCTTATACATATTTTTGTTTTGCATGGTGTAGAAGCCTGAAATATTATCAAGCGAAATTGCGTTGCCCAAGGATCTGACAGATGGTTTCAATTTAATGAAATCGGTAAAATAGGTTTTGCTTGAGACGCCGTCATACTTTTATAATCAATGTGGCGTGCTTGGGGTCGAATTCTGAGAGACTATCACAAGACATGTTCGATTACTTTGCAACGACAGTGGTAAATCAGTTGAATAACATATCTAGCTGAAGCACCTCCTTGTCTTCTATACCAGGCAAGCCTCATGTACCGGAGACGTTCGGTGGGCGTCTCCTGCGAATTCTCGTTCTTTGTTTAACCAAGTGCAGACCAGGTCTCAACCATTAAACTCTGGGAAGTTCTGGCAGATCTTTGGCTGCTCAATTGTGGAGGAGTGCGCTCGATTGAGGATCACAATCGGCTCCATCCTTCTGTTGAGGACCTCACGGGATTTTGTCTTAAAGGATTACACATGGCTTCTTTTTGGCGGGGGTTACACCTGGGTTCCTGTTGAGGGCGGTTGTGGTAGGATTCTTTTTGGGGAATGGTACGCTTAGAAATTATGTTGAAAAGGGGGTCACACTAGGATGGTTACAATCAAACTTCACCGCGGGTGATTTCAATAGGATGCCTGTTGTGGAGGTTTACAAGTGGGTTTCTTTTGTGGACTGTGACAATGAGATGTCTCTTGTGAGTGGATTTCAAGTCCATCCCTCTTGTACAGGATTGTACTCGTTTTTTGTAGGGTATGCTACGGGGTTATTTTCAGTTTCGAGTTTTTTTTGCTGTTGTGTGTGTATACATATATCGGCGCACCGGGTCCGGGGGCCCGGGGCCGGGACCTCGACCGCAAATGTGCACCCCGGGGGGCCCGGAGGCTCGTCGGGGCTTGCCGGAGGCCTCCCCAGTCAGACAAGACGGCCCAAGAAGCGCCCAAGACGGCCCAAGAAACTTCCAAGAGGCCTCCAAGAGGGCTCCGAGATGCTGAAGATGGCCTCCAGACGTCCAAGGACGCCCCCAAGAGGCCCCAAGAAGCCTCCAACATGCGTCCCAAGAGGGCCCCTAGACGCAAAAATTGGCCCATTCCTTTCGTTCGTAAAAGGACGGCCCAAGAGGCGCCCAAGAGGACGGCCCAAGAAGCCCAAGACGGCCCCAAGAAGGCCCCAGACGCCCAAGATGGCCCAAGAGGGCCCCAAGACGGGCCCAAGAGGGGGCCCAGAGGAGGACCACGAACCGCAAGCTCGAGCCTTCCGCCCCAAGAGGCCGCCAGGAGGCCCCCAGGAGGCCCCTCAAGAGGCCCCGGAGACCCCAGACGTCCAAGGACGCCCCCAAGAGGCTCCAAGAAGCCTCCAACATGCGTCCCAAGAGGGCCCCTAGACGCAAGAATTGGCCCATTCCCTTCGTAAAACGTACATTTTCAACAAAGTTGCTTTTGGGCTTTCCGACGTTACAGGACGGCCCAAGAGGCGCCCAAGACCGCCCCAAGACGGCCCAAGAAGCTTCCAAGAGGGCCCCAGGACAGCCCAAGAGGGCCCCAAGACGGCCCAAGAGGCGCCCAAGATGGCCCAAGAGGGCCCCAAGACGGGCCCAAGAGGGGGCCCAGAGGGGGACCACGAACCGCAAGCTCGAGCCTTCCGCCCCAAGAGGCCGCCAGGAGGCCCCAAGGAGGCCCCTCAAGAGGCCCCAGGAGACCCCAGACGTCCAAGGGCGCCCCCAAGACGCTTCGCGTCACCAATTTCTTCTCGCAACGATTCCTGGGTCTGTGACTCGACAGAACCTAAGCGCGCGCGAAGCGCGCGCGTGGTTCTAGTGTGTGTGTGTGTGTGTGTTTGTGTGTGTGTGTGTGTGTGTGTGTGTGTGTGTGTGAGAGTGTTTGTGTGTTTCCTTTTCTGGTTTTAAGAAGTAGATACAACAAACTATAACATGATTGCGGTATGTTTTTTTCGTGGAAATCACCAGAAGATTCGAATTGGAATCCCCCCAGGGGACTCCCAGAATTCCCTGTTCTTTCTTCCTCCTTCCATAACATGAGGGCCCATGAGGGATGGGTGGCCCTGAGGGATAGGGCCCTAAGGACGAGAACCGCAAGAAATGACAGTTTGGCTTGTGATCCACTTCCTACCTTCAGGGCCCCATGATTCGGGGCTGGGGGCGAAGCCACCAGGGAGCGCCGCCGCGGCGTGCTCGCCAGGGCGGCGGCTGTTCCGCCTCCGCCGCTGGCCGCCGTCGTTTGGAGCAGCGCGGCCGACTCGTCTGGGGAAAGCGGGAGCAACTTTACATGGGAGCGCCTCATCCTTGAACCGCCGAAGTGGATCAGCGGGATCTCGGCCGCCTGGGGCGCTTTGGTACTGTCTCCGGCTCGATCCTGAAGCCCGTCGGGAGGTCCTCTTGGTCTCCGGGTGCCAGCGGAAGGCTGGCGGAAGCTGGCGGGAGTAAAAGATGCGTTACCAAGAGGTATCATTTTTTGGGTCCAGATGTTCGGGGACAGGTGAGATGGTACGGAGCATAGTTTTTTGTTCCTCAGAGCCGAAAGATCATGCACCATTCCGCGGTGGAGCAGGGCACGAGGGAATCCAAGTATGGTGCGGTGCGCGGGCGACGTTCTCGCATCTTGCCCTCGAGGTTGTCAACCTAAACCTCCCATGCTGCATCATGCTCTGAACAATCGACGTGGATGTTTTTCAAGTTGCATCCTCTGGGTGTCGCTTTCCGGCTCTGGGAGCCATCACCAACAAGCATGGAAGACACATACGGCATCAGACATTCAGAAATCGGAGGTTTGGGTGATGCGCACTGGTGCCCGTGTAGAAACCACCCAGGTCTTCCTGGAACAGTGTAGGGAAGCATTTTCATGGGAAGTGCATCTGGGGCTCAGGCGGAAACTTCGTTTGGGTTCAGTCGCAGTCTGGATGCTGGAGTCGGCGTTCGGCGCGGGGGGGGGGCGTCGATTTCGGGTCAGATCTGGCCCCCCCGAGGGGCGGAACTCTCTCGTACTCCAGGTGTTCGTCTCCCCCCGCGCGCAGCCGACGTCGAGCATCTTCTGCCGCGCGCACGATCGCGTGCCAGGTTTGGGCGGGGGCTGGGACGGTGATCGATCCGTTCCAGAGCGTCCCAGAACGCTCGCGAAGGCGTTCTGGAACGCTCTGAGAACGCGCGGCGCCCGAGACATCTTCCAGAGCCGCCAGCTCTCGGAGGTTCTCGATTTATCCTCACCCGATGTTATCCTCGTCGTGGCTTCGCCTTGCAGGCGCTTCGCGTTTCTGTTCCCTCGGCGAGTTGCCCTCCTCTCCGCCCCCTCCGCGGCCGCTCGCCTGCTTGTCCACCTGAGTCTCTTTGTGCACTTCGCTCTGCCGCGCCCCGGCCGTTGCTGCTCGGCGCCTCGCGCGTGTCTCACGCCGCCGCCGACGAGAACGCGATTCGCCATGAAAACGACCTGATTGTTCTTTGTAAACACAAATGACAATCTGCTGTCAGGCTGAAGACGTTAGAAACAACTGACTTCCAAGACGCCGAGTCGAAATTGTAAAAAGCGCCCAGGGCATGTGCAGGACGAGCGGAGGACAAGAAGCTGTTCCCTCAAGTTCAGGCATCCTGGGAGTCCTTTCGGGCCGGTCGGGTCGAGTCTGGCAGCCCTTGTCGTTGTACGGTCGAGCACCTGATTAAGAGACCTCCTCCCGAAAAGCTGGGCCAGCGTTTCTTAGCCAACTTGCCTGACAACTGGCCCAGTTTCTGGAGCGCGTTCGCAGCTCCAGCGTTCGCCCGAAAACTTGGCCCAGGCTTTTCTTAAGAATCTTCGGGGAGTTGGCCCAGATGTTCTAACCGATCGTTTTCTTGACCATCTTCTCGGCTGTATTGTTGACAATTGTGTGTGTGGAGGCAGACGCAACCTCTCTTGAGCTCTTGAGGCAACTCCGAGCCGTCCAGGGCACTTCGGGGTTCGGGGGCCGTCTCGCCTCGCGGCAGCGGCGCGAATGCTGCACTGGGCCAGATGATCTCGGCTGGTTTCACAAAGCTGCATGGACAAACTCGGCAGAGGACAATGTACGTTTTCCCTTTATTGGGCCTCTGGGGAGGCCCTCGTTGCCACTGCTGGACTAACCTCAAGATTCTAGTCAGAACGCATCTAAGGAGAGGTCAGGGGAGTAGCGGTATCGGTACCGTTTTGTTCCCCACATGCGGGCACTCAATTCCAATTATTTTCATGGCTGTAGTGTGTGTGCCTCCTTGAGCGACCCGTCTCGTTGCCGCTAAAAGCACATGGATGCGGGCAGGGTGGGACCAGACCGCGCATATTGCCTTGTGCTGTTCAGTGTTCTTAACCTCTCAAATATTTCACGCCGCAGTCTCGGCGCACCGTTCCCTCCCCGCTATGGTGCCCTGAGGATGGCCAGCGCGCCGCAGCTGCCAAGGGCGAGACACCCGCTGGCGCCACTGCGAGTGGGAAGTAAGCTTAAGGGCAGGCCGCTGCACACCAACAAGTTCTTTAGTTCACTCTTCCTGTCCGACGGCAGCTCACCGTTGTACGCCCACCCTTACGTGCTGCGCGTGCGGAAGCCCGAGTCGGCGGCCCCATACCGCCTCGAGGTGTCCTATTCTGCCGCCCGGCGGACAGTGGCCGAGGCTGGGGCAGATGGCCGCGCGGAGTTCTACCATCACGCATTCGAGGCGGATGTCGCCCTGGGCGCTGCGGAGGCAGGCTCGGAGTGGGAGGTGGAGGACGTGGACGACGCTGGCCTGGGCGTTGTCATCGCCTTCGGGCGTGGGCAGTGGCGAGCGCCGATTGTACGAGGCATGCCGTACGTCACTGGGGTGTTCGACGCGCAGACACCCCTGCTAAGTTCCACGCAGACGATCGTGTCGATCGACGGACGGCCGGTCCAGGTGGGCGCGGAGTTCGTCGGCGCGCGCCTGCGCCTGCAGCTCGGCAACGGGCAGTGCTGGAGACTGTATGGCCTCTCGCAGCCAGCGCCTGCCTGGACTTGGGACGGGCAGGCGCTTCGCTGCAAGGCCCCGGTGCGGGGCGCGGTGCGCGTGGCCCTGGAGCCCGGCGGCGCCGCGGAGGCCGGCGAGATCTTGGACCGGCACTGCCGAGCCTGGGCGGAGGGCGCAGACGTGCGCTTGTCGCCGCCGCGGGGCTACAGCATCGCCTGGAGGCGCGCGGGCGACGCCGGCGGGCCCGCGCTGCTCCAGTGCGCCGAGCTGCACCACCTGGACGCCCTTGTTGCAGAGGGTGGCCTGCCGCAGGGGGCGCGCACCGCGCTGCGCTTCGAGAGCACCACCAAGGTCAGCATCGTGTTGACCTGTCCTCATCCACGCTGGGCCATGGTATCTCAGCCCCACCATCCCACCACCCACCACCCACCACCCCATTTGGGGACAGGCCCCTCGAGACCCGAAGGAAACCGCTGATGTATATCCCCATGGTGGTGAATCGGCCAGGGGCCCAGGCCACGCCAGTGGGGATAGGGATCGATGAAATGATGCCCCAAAGGGCCCCCTGCGCGCAGTCGCCGCAGACATCTGGGCGCTCAGGGTCGACCCAGTGGAGGTCGGCTGGCTCCCGGAGCTCATAGGAGCAGCAGAAGGTGCCCGTACCGCTGCTCGTCCTGGAGAGCCCTCGTCGCCTCGGCTGGACTCTCCTCGAGATTCTAGTCGGGATGCACAACAGGAGAGGTCTGGGGAGTGGTGGCGTCGGTACCTTTTTGTTGGTGCCCCCAGGAGCGGGCCCCAGACCCTGCGCTCGTGGGCGAGATCGGGCGGCAGCTGCGGGCGGACCTCGCCGTAGACGTGGGGCGGGAGTCGCGGGGCAAGGGATCCAACTACTTCGCCGGCAAGGCTCTGTACAAGTTCGCCCAGGCCGTCCTCGTGGCCGACGCCCTCGGCGAGGCCGCGCTGCGCGACGAGGCGGCCCTGAAACTCCAGGGCGCGCTGGCTGCATTCGCCGCTGGGGGCGAGGCGAACCCGCTGGTCTACGACGAGGTGTGGGGCGGCGTCGTGGGCCGCGGCGGGCTGGTAGGGGATCGCCTTCACGATTTTGGCAGCTCGTATTATCCAGCTGCCTGCGGCACTTGGGGGTTTCCTGGACTGTCTTGGGGCCATCTCGGGCCGTCTTGGGCCATCTTGGCGGCCTTGGTGGCCTGCCGGAGCCGTCTTAGAAGCTTGTGTGTCCTCGCGGCCTTGTAGATCCCCAGGGAGGCGCCAGGGCGCCCCAGGAGCCTCGGGACGGGGTGTGGGGCGATGGATGGGCGTCTGCGTGACTGGGAGGGGGGTCTCTTGAACGACCTGCAGAGACCCTGCCAGACAGCACTTGGCGTTCTGCCACGCCTCAGCGTGCCAGGGGGCACGACGGCGGATAATGACCACCACTACCACTGGGGCTACCTCGTCGGCGCCTCCGCCGTGGCGCGGCGCTTCTGCCGGCCGCACCCAGAATTGGAAGCCTGGGTTGGTGCGCTGATCTGCGACGTGGCGTGCGAGCGCAGCGGCGACCCGTTCTTCCCCGCCTGGCGGTCGTTCGACTGGTTCAGCGGGCACTCCTGGTCCCAGGGCCTCTTCGAGTCGCAGGACGGCAAGGACCAGGAGTCGGTCAGCGAGGAGATGATGTTTCACTACGGCGCGCTGCTCTGGGGGCGTGCGACGGGCGACGCTCCGCTGGCGGAGCGCAGTCAGCTGATGCTGACGGTCGCCATGCGGGCAGTGCAGCGGTACTTCCTGATGCAGCCGGGCGGCGGGGTGCACCCGGCTGAGTTCGAGAGGAACTGGGTCACCGGCATATTCTTCGAGAACAAGGTGCATCACACCACGTGGTTTAGTCCGCGCCTCGAGTGCATCCATGGCATACAGATGCTGCCTGTCACGCCCGTGTCCGAATTGCTGCGCGGCCGCTCCTTTGTGGAAGGGGAGTGGCGCGAGCTCCTCGGCGGTGCACTCGCCAAGACCACCGACGGCTGGCGGAGCCTGCTGCTGCTGAACCTGGCCTCGCTGGATCCAGCGGCTGCTTTCGAGGGGCTGCGCCACAGCCCCCTGGACGACGGCCTGCTGCGCAGCTGGGCGCTGTTCTGGGCCGCCACGCGGCAGGGCGGCCCCACCGCCGCGCCGCGCGCTGCGCACCCCGAGCTGGCCGCCTGCGGCGGCGAGCCCCCGGGGAAGCCCGATGCCTCCGGCGGCTCCACGGGCGCCCGCCTGTTCGCCAGCGCTCTGTCGCTCGCGGAGGCCCCCGGGGGCTCCAGGCACCTCCGGGTGGAGGTGCGGCCAGAGGACCCCGCTGGCGTGACCCTGGTGGCGGTGCACTACTCCGTGAACGGCGGGGAGCAGTGGAACGTGGACATCCAGAGCCCCTCGCCGGACGCCGGGGGCAACCCAAAGACGGCCCAGGCTTCCGGAGGTCCGCGCGGAGCTCTCGGGGCCGTCTCTGGGTCACCGTCCTCGGAGCCCGTGCACGGTGCGCGGAGCGCTGCCGTGGGTGGTGGGAAGGAGGTCGGGTGTCTCTGCACGTGTTTGTCTCTGCACCTGTTTGATTTGCTGTCGAGCTGTCTCTGCACATGTTTGATTCGTTGCTGAGCTCTAGAACGCGTCGCGGCCCATTACGGCCATGTGGACAGGGCCCTTCACGCTGAAGACACGCATGATACGGGGCGGGCGTTGGTGACTGAAGGATTCTTCATCTGACTGGCGGTGATGTGCCCACCTCAGACCCTGAAGGATTCTTTATCTGATGGCGACGGTGGTGCTATCCATGGCCAATCCACGATTGAAGTTCCACAGTCTTCCAGACCCTGCATTCCTTATCCAATGGTTCCTTATGCAATGCCCCCCACCGAATGAGATAGTTTAGGAAGCATGATAGACAGGACGCTGCACAAGAAGAAAACCAAACACAGCATGGCGGCCGCAAGGTAGCGATAGCGGGGTCGTCAGGCCCGAAGGCCGCTACGCCCCGCGCCCGCCCCTACAGAGGCCGTGCTTGTGTTGGGAGCTGACCTCAAGGGGTCCAGCCTGCTGTCCGCGGTGCCACCAAGACGTGTCGGCCCGCAGAAGCGCCGCCTCAGGGCCTCAACGAGCAACGGGGGAACCCGACATATATCAACGTTTTAGACCTCCCCTCCCACAGTTGTCAAGTGTTCTACGGGCCAGAAGCCATGGTTCACAAGGCCCGAAAGATGAACATGAGCTCGTGCAACTGCAGGGAGAGACTCCTGCCACTGGGAGAGTTGGAGCTTGAAGGGTCGTCTCGCCGAGATGGCAGTGAAAGGAGGGGCCCACTGCCCGGCGTTGCTTCGTGCAAGAAAAAGTTCCTGGCTGGGCTCCCACCGCGGAGCAAGAACAAGTTTCTGGCTGGGCTCCCACCTGCAGTACTTCGACCCGAAGTTCTGGGGAATTAGTCGACGCAAGATTGAGCCGCTAACGCTACGCATCCTTTACAGCTAGCGCCGAAGACCTCGCCTCCGTACGAGGTCCCTCGTGGCCTCGGTGGCTACGGAACGCGAAACAGCAGCATGCTTGCGTGCACACGCGTCTACAATCAAATCCTGAGACATCACCTTCGCAGTCACGCGCTGCATGGCGCGGCATCGGTGCTCTTGGCATCGCTCGGACGTGTGCATTTTTCCTTCGGCGAGGACCATCGAGGAGCATCCTTGATCATTTGGCGAAAAAGCCACGCACGAAACCGAAAAAACACAGGGAATAAACGTCCGAGCGATGGCCAGTGCTGGTGCCGCGCCCGCCCAAGAGACCAGCCCAGGCATGCGACTGCTCCGTCTGCGGGCAGCAGTGACCCTTATTGCCAGGGCGGCTTTTTGGGTGCGCGGCCTTCGAGGGGAGCGGCGGCAGGGGGGCAAAAAACCAGGCAGTGTCGATGTCCACCCGATCGATGCGATCCGGCATCGACTTCGGCTGGCCCGCTCCGACTCGATTCCGATGCTCCGACGATCCGGTGCGGTCCGAGGCTCGCGTGGCGTCGTCGTGCATCCCGGCCTGGCGCGGCAGATGCGACCCAGTTCCGATTGCGTGCCGAGGCATTCCGATGCGATGCACGTTGGGGTGTGATTTGCTTTCCCAACTCGATGCCGGCGGACCCTGTCCAGGCGCACAGGCCGCTGCCGTCCTGTCGCACGCAGCGATGGGCAAGACGAGGCGGCGCGTTCGCCACGAAGGAAGGGGGGCCTTATGAGGGAAGCGGGTCCGCAGTTTTGCTCGCAGCTTTTTGGCCTCCACTCCACGGGCCCCAGGGCCGTCAGACAACGAGTTCAGGATGAAGATCGGGTGGGTGGTAGTGGGGGATGACCTAAAATGGGGGCTAAGGAAAAGGGCCCCAAAGGAGCCCGTAAGGGCCTTTTTCTTCACCCCTCCCATGTAGGTCAGCCCCCGTTACCACCCGCCCGAGAAGAGCTGGTCTGGGGGGAAGACCCCGAGATCCAGGTGATCCAGGGCCCGCTCCCTTCAGGATCGACCGATGAGAGAACGCCCGCGCATGCAAGTCGATTGAGGAATGCTGCGCCGGCTGATTCAGTGTGCCCCGTGATGCAGCTTGACGTACGTTTCGGCGAATCCATTCCGTAGTTTTCGCTCGTTGACCAGGTATCCCGCCCGAGTCCACTCGGGATGCGGCGCCGTGCGCACGCGGAGTGCCCCCCCCTGCCAGCTTTCTGTAGAGGGCGTTCTGCTCCCAGGGGGGCTTTGCCAATCCTCGACCAGGCCCGTGCCCGCCCCCTTCGCGTCAAGCTGCCACCAGGGGTCCCTTCTGAGCCCATTCGGCGTCTAAGCCCGTTCCGCAGCCGAGTGGACTCGCGGTCGAGCTCATTCGGCGGCCGAACGGGCTCCATTGCCTCGACCCTGTTGAGACTGAGCCCGTCTGGCTGCCCAATTGGCGGCCGGTGCGGGCTCAGCCGCCGACTGGGCTCAGCAGGGAGCCGTGGGCTCGTGCGCAGGGCAGCCCTCTGCGTGCGGCCGAGGGCTGCTGCCCGTGTCGCTGCCCCCGCGGCCTCACAGGACGGCGCCTGGGTCCACTGCGGCGCCGCCGCGCGCGGCGCGCCCGAGGCCCGGGCGCTGCCAAGGCGGCCCCCCTCGGCTACACAGTCGGAGTGGCCCTTCGTCGGAGTGGCCTTTGGTGCGGGCCCTGCAGGGGACCCCCCAGCACCGGCCCAGGCGGCCTGCGTGCTTGGATTTGGCCCCACGCGGACCCCGGAAGCCGCGCACCCTTCAGGCCACTCCTGCCTGGGGCCCTGGGGTCGCTCTGGCGTGGCCGACTGGCACAGGGTGCCCCCTCGGGGCTCCCAGAGGGCGGCCCCGGAGGCCCCCCCAGAGGGCGCCCCTCACGAGGCCCAGAGGGGCCCCAGAGCGGCGCGAGGAGCCGGGAGCGCCCTGGGCCCGGGGCACCGCCGGCAGCCCCACCAGAGGTCGCCCCCGGAGACGCGGTCTCCTACTGGCTGTACTGCATTCGGCGGGGCCTCGGCGAGGAGGAGCTCGGCCTCACGTGGACGGCGCGCTGAGCGCGGGGGCTTTTGCTGGACGCCTTCTGGTGCCTTGACGGCAGGCGCCAGCAACAGCGACAGCGACGTAGGCGACGGCGAAGGGGTGGAGAACGAAACGAGAGCGTTCTGCGACCGGCTGTCGACGCTGGAGTGTCAGACGCCCCCGCCAGGGTTCACTTGGCCGCAGACATCCTCCGGATTCGGTGCTCCAGCAGACGTTGCCGACCTTTGCGCCTAAGCTTGCCACTGTGGCGCAGCAGCGCAGCTGGCAGGTCATCACTGTCAGAACCATCCCAGCCCCGACCTGAACAGGGCAAGGCAGCATCTTCCTCAGCGTGTCAGCACCCGCTCGATGTGAGCTGATGCAGGGGACGGAACCCATCCCCTCCTGCCCTCACTTTCCAAGACCGTTGAGTTCAGATTCCAGTCGTCGAGGTGTTGAGAAGCCCAGATGGAGCTAGAGGTCTGGAAGGCTACCTTTGAGTGTTGTAGAAGGGCAGGGATGAGGGGCAGGTCGGCCGTGGGAGCCAAGGTTTGCCCGGCTGGGTGCGGGTGGGCATGGTTCTGCTTATCCGGAGCAGTGGCAGTCGTTTCCACCGCTGTGTCAGTGCACCTTTGACGTGTACGGCTTCCTCCTCCGTCTGGCCCTCTGCCTTCTGAAAGGGGCCCTCCTCCATCTGGCCCCTTTGCGTCCGACCGACTGGACGGTGTTTCACGCACATCGGCTACGTCAATAACTGTTCTTGAATGCGGGGACGAATCAGTGATTACCTGACGGCTAGGTTAAGTTTAATATCTCTCGACCACTCGGCCCGTACGAACGCGTCAGTGTGATGGGCATGGGCTGTATGATTCAAAATAGGGGGCATTGATTCTCGTTTGGGCGCGCCACCTCCTCTTCTTGCTGTCTACCTCCTTGTGCACCTGGTCGTGTGAAGGCAGGACCCTCTGGCCAAGATCTGCCAGGCCCACGGACTTCGCCAGTGTACACCCACTTCAAAAGGTAATGAGCAGAGGGTGCGGACACCATGTGTGCGTTCGCTCGCCGTTGGCAGTGCCGTGTCATGACCGATCCAAGGCTGTTCTTTTCTGGCTCTCGCTGCTTCACCTTTTACCCTCTCGCGTGTACGCTCACATCAAAAGCACATCACAAGCAGTAGCTCGCGGTGCTGACTAATGATTTAGCCAGGCGCGCCATCAGGGTTACCTCACCGCGGGAGGAGCGCTTCGGCTTTTCATTGCTGCATTTCTTACTCCTCTCTCCATCTCGTCTCACACCTGGTATGGGCGTCCAGACTCTGCCCTCGTGTCCGATCCGATCTGATCGGAGGAGGAGGAGGAGGAGGAGGAGGAGGAGGAGGAGGAGGAGGAGGAGGAGGAGGAGGAGGAGGAGGAGGAGGGGGAGGGGAGGGGGAGGGGGGGAGGGGGAGGGGGAGGGGGAGGAGGAGGAGGAGGAGGAGGAGGAGGAGGAGGAGGAGGAGGAGGAGGAGGAGGAGGAGGAGGAGGAGGAGGAGGAGGAGGAGGAGGAGGAGGAGGAGGAGGCGGGCGGCGGCGGCGGCGGCGGCGGCGGCGGCGGCGGCGGCGGCGGCGGCGGCGGCGGCGGAGGAGGAGGAGGAGGAGGAGGAGGAGGAGGAGGAGGAGGAGGGGAGGAGGAGGAGGGGAGGGAGGGAGGGGGGGAGGGAGGGAGGGAGGGAGGGAGGGAGAGATGAAGGATGCACGAGGGATGGACGATGGGTGGATGGATGGATGGATGGATGGATGGATGGATGGATGGATGGATGGATGGAGGGAGGGAGGGAGGGAGGGAGGGAGCAGGAAGGGAGGGAGGGAGAGAGGAAGTTGGTTGGTTGGTTGGTTGGACCCTTTTCGGACTTATGATGATTCCGTGGGCGCGGCCTCTTTAGCATGGCTGCCGGGCGGTAGGCAACCCAGAGATGCTCCAGCCTGGCCCACCCCCTGCCATCGCTTGAAGGTTGGAGAGGGGAGGAGGGGCTTCCGAGGGCCTCCACTACTGCCACTCGCGCAGCGACCCTGGAGTGATGATCCCGGCATGTACCCTCGGGACCGCCGGCTGTTGAAGATGCTGGCTCTGGCTGGCTCCTGGAGGACACGACGAGGAGCCCCGACCCTGAGAGTGCCCTGCGGACCCGCGGACCGAGGCCAGCAACAGGCCTGGCCACTGCCAGCCCCACAGGGGCACCCCAGGACCCCGCGAGCAGCGAGGGGCGCCAGGGGCGTACCAGCAGCCTCCCAGGGCACGCGCCGGCGACCCAGCCTGGGGCCCTGCCCGATCCTGGCTCGCCGCGGGGCGAGGCACGATGCATGTGCCAGCCCGCGCGAGGAATCAGGATCGGGACCTTCCCATGAGGTGACGAGGACGACATGGGGGAGATGAAATGACGGAGGAGGGGGGGCGGAGGAGGGCCCACCCGTCTTGGGCAGGGGCGCCCGCGACGATGATCCCGACGACGACGACGACGACGACGATGATCCCGACGACGACGACGACGACGACGACGACGACGACGACGACGACGACGACGACGACGACGACGACGACGACGACGACGACGACGATCCCGACGACGATCCCGACGACGACGACGACGACGACGACGACGACCAGCGGCGCCCTGGAAGCACAGACGCCCACGCGGCTAGCCTTCCTCCACCCCATTCCAGCTCTGGTTTCCTGGCCTGGCCCAGCCCAATCTAGCCCAGGACGGCTGAGAAGGAGAGGGGGCTGGAGGAGGAGGAGGATGAGGAGGAGGAGGAGGAGGAGGAGGAAGAGGAGGAGGAGGAGGAGGAGGAGGAGGAGGAATAGGGAAGAGCATGGACTTCTTTGCGGGGGGGCAAACGGGAGCGGGGAGGAGGGAGAGATGGGGGGCTGGGAGGATAGGCGTGCGGGGGGCTCACAAGCCGACCTGCGCCCAGAAGCGGTCCGTCCAGAATTCCACCTCTGCGGCCAGCAGCAGTGCCTCCTGGTAGCCCGCCTGTCCCAGGCCGCAGTCCAGCAGGGCCGCCGCGCACTCTCGTGCCGAGGCAGCTGGCAGAACGCCCCGCGCCTGCCAGATTGCGGCCCGCTCGGAAGCCGAGCCCGGACACGCCGAAAGGATGTGGACGGACAGGCTGGGCTGCTTAGCGCCGTAGGGCCACGTGCTGCATGGCGGCGGCCGCCCACTCGGTTAGGCATTTATTGTATTTGTTGTTGGCTTTGGTATGGATTTTTGTTTTGTAGGTTTCCAGCGTGCCCTCCTTGTGGGAGAAGAGCCAGGACCTCCAGGTATAGGTTCGCATCTGGGAGGGCCCCCAGGGACGGGCGCCTGGCAGCTACTTCACTGTGGCAGTGCCCGATCCAGATCGCACCGAGCCCAACCCGCTGCGACATGTTTTCCGCGCCAGGGCGGAATGCCATGAGGAGCTGCGCCAATCGCTCACGGGCCGCATCGTGTCCTGCACCGGTGGCCTTGTCTACCGCCCAGAGCCACCGCCCGAATCGGAGGCCTCCCTCGGTCTGGGCCTCAAAGGGTGCCACCGCGGCAGCCAGCGGAAGCTGCCGTCTGGCGACCAGGCCTGCAAGAGAAGCAGCCTGGGAGGACGCAGCTCTGAGACTTTGAGCACGGAGAGAAGCCATGTCCAGGTCCCCGCGCCGTGGGAGGCCCAGCCATTTGTGATGTGAGACAACGCAGGCATCCACCGGGGGGGCGCCCCCCTTCAGCTGCAAGATCAGCGGGGGAGAGGCCTCCGCCGCCTGCACCGCGGCAGGTCCCCCCGAGGGCAACACCACATGTTTCGAGGCCTTCGCGTGTGGGGGCTGGCTTGGGCCCGAAGGCCCACTCGGCCGAGTCTCCGAGCAGGGCCTGCGCCGCCCCGCGGCTGGAGGCCAGCAGACCATGGCCATCGGCGTTCAGCACTGCCACGAGGCGCCTGGGGGCGTTCAGGTCCAGGGCCTGAGGGGCCGAGGCCTCCAGATCCGCACCCGCGTCGAGGGAGGCCGTCGGCGGGAGCGGGCGCCCTGGGCACAGGGCGACCTTCATCTCCTGGGCCCACCCACAAGGAACGCGGACTGCCTGCGCCCAGCCACCGCCCGCCCGTCCACTCCGCAGGCACTGCTACCCCCCACGCCCACACCGTGCCCCTGGGCGAGGAGAATGCGCGTCAGCTCGTCCATGAAGCACGGGAAAGGCAGCGGCCCCAGCGTGCGATGCCCTCGGAGAGTGGCTCCACAAGCGCGCCGTTGAAGTTGATTTGCACTAGTCGAGCTCCAGCATGCTCCCCAGCTAAGCGCAGGCTCCGTCCCGAAGGCCGATGTGCCCCGACAGCGAATTCAGCAGGCTCCCGCGCGACGTCCTCAGACAGGCTTTTTTCAGGTCGCCAAAGGCAGCCCAAACCATTTTGCCCTGCCCGACTGCCAGGGCACAGACCTCGTGTAGGAGCAACTGTGCGCTCCCGACGTCGCGAACGTATCCACTCTGTCCTGGGGTGATTGAGGCGCGGACGTCGGTCTTCAGGCGGCCGAACTGCAAAACATATTGCAGACGCCCCAGCTGGCTCCTGACCAGTATGAGCCTGAAGCTTTCGCAGTCGTCCGCTGTGTCCACCGTGTGGAGAGGAACGGCACACAAGCCTCTCCAGCAGCGCGCCCGCTGCGCTAGGGCCCCAGGCCCTGTTTCACCCATCGACAGCCATACGCCATATTGGATATGTTGCGACGGAAACAGCACGAGAGAGACGTGGCAGCGGGTGGGGGGGGCATCGGTTCCTGTCCACTGCGCCAGAGCACTAACCGTAGACCTTGTTCTGATTAGCGACACCGTCGTGTGGTCCCTGACCCCTGCCCTTGCACGCTCTGCTTGTCAGGCCGAGCACTGCTGCCTGAACCTGCTGGTGGAACGCTTCGTCCCAGGGCGCTGGCCACGCCGCCTGTGCTCTCACTTGCGCGCCCCAGGCCTGCAGGGAGGACTCTAGCGACAGGGATCCCTGCGCATTCCGCAGGCACGAAAGGGGGCGAACCGGCC